ATGCCATTTATTTGGTAGACAAACAGACAGACAGCCCAATACATACACATACACAAACTGTAACTGTAGAAAGTATGAGAGAAAAAAAGGATGCTTTATATATTAACTCACTGCCTACACTCTGCTATAAACACTTACACACACACACATTATTAAACAAAATGTTACAGAAATTGAATCCTTTTTTATAAGCGAGTGTTAAAGAAAAAAAAAAAGGTTTCAGTTTAAAGAAAATATATGAGACACAATAAAGCAGGAAGAAAAAAAAACAGACACGAATGATTTTTAAGGCGTTTTAACAAGCGGGAATAAAAGCAAAAAAACACCAACTCTTCAAGATGAATAGTTTTAAGCTAAAGGAACATTTTATATACTTTTATTTGGAATAGCTTCGCTAAGAAATCACGATATTTTAAATTTATATTAAGCGTTTGTAACATTTACATAAGTTAGATTACGAAAATATTATATTTTCCAAAAAAAATTATTATAGGAACACCATGCCGTATGATTATTATCAATTTGAGAATTTAAATTTTGAAAAACTTTTTCGGGAGCATGCATTAGGGCAGAGAGAGAGAATGCAACGAATCAATAGCTGACATTAGGCATGGAAAATTTAAATTCGGAAATAGTACTAATTTTTAACAAAAAGAGTACTTTTTAAGTTTTAAAGTACTAAACTAATTTTCCGCTAGACCACAAACTAAACTATACTATAGAGGACAGTACAGACTAAGCTATTGGCTAGACTATTGACTAAACTATAGAATAGGCTACAGACTAGAATATAGACTTAAATATATACTAGACTACAGACCAGACTATAGACTAGACTATAGACTAGACTATAGACTAGACTATAGACTAGACTATAGACTAGACTATAGACTAGACTATAGACTAGAATATAGACTAGAATATAGACTAGACTATAGACTAGACTAAAGACTAGACTAAAGACTAGACTATAGACTAGACTATAGACTAGACTAAAGACTAGACTATAGACTAGACTAGACTATAGACTAGACTATAGACTAGACTATAGACTAGACTATAGACTAGACTATAGACTAGACTATAGACTAGACTATAGACTATATAGACTAGACTATAGACTAGACTATAGACTAGACTATAGACTAGACTATAGACTAGACTATAGACTAGACTATAGACTAGACTATAGACTAGACTATAGACTAGACTATAGACTAGACTATAGACTAGACTATAGACTAGACTATAGACTAGACTATAGACTAGACTATAGACTAGACTATAGACTAGACTATAGACTAGACTATAGACTAGACTATAGACTAGACTATAGACTAGACTATAGACTAGACTATAGACTAGACTATAGACTAGACTATAGACTAGACTATAGACTAGACTATAGACTAGACTATAGACTAGACTGTAGACTAGACTATAGACTAGACTATAGACTAGACTATAGACTAGACTATAGACTAGACTATAGACTAGACTATAGACTAGACTATAGACTAGACTATAGACTAGACTATAGACTAGACTATAGACTAGACTATAGACTAGACTATAGACTAGACTATAGACTAGACTATAGACTAGACTATAGACTAGACTATAGACTAGACTATAGACTAGACTATAGACTAGACTATAGACTAGACTATAGACTAGACTATAGACTAGACTATAGACTAGACTATAGACTAGACTATAGACTAGACTAGACTATAGACTAGACTAGACTATAGACTAGACTAGACTAGACTAGACTAGACTAGACTAGACTAGACTAGACTAGACTAGACTAGACTAGACTAGACTAGACTAGACTAGACTAGACTAGACTAGACTAGACTAGACTAGACTAGACTAGACTAGACTAGACTAGACTAGACTAGACTAGACTAGACTAGACTAGACTAGACTAGACTAGACTAGACTAGACTAGACTAGACTAGACTAGACTAGACTAGACTATAGACTAGACTAGACTAGACTAGAACTATAGACTAGACTAGACTATAGACTAGACTATCGACTAGACTATGACTAAGACTAGACTAGACTAGACTAGACTAGACTATAGACTAGACTATAGACTAGACTATAGACTAGACTATAAGACTAGACTATAGACTAGACTATAGACTAGACTATAGACTAGACTATAGACTAGACTATAGACTAGACTATAGACTAGACTATAGACTAGACTATAGACTAGACTATAGACTAGACTATGACTAACTATAGACTAGACTATAGACTAGACTATAGACTAGACTATAGACTAGACTATAGACTAGACTATAGACTAGACTATAGACTAGACTATAGACTAGACTATAGACTAGACTATAGACTAGACTATAGACTAGACTATAGACTAGACTATAGACTAGACTATAGACTAGACTATAGACTAGACTATAGACTAGACTATAGACTAGACTATAGACTAGACTATAGACTAGACTATAGACTAGACTATAGACTAGACTATAGACTAGACTATAGACTAGACTATAGACTAGACTATAGACTAGACTATAGACTAGACTATAGACTAGACTATAGACTAGACTATAGACTAGACTATAGACTAGACTATAGACTAGACTATAGACTAGACTATAGACTAGACTATAGACTAGACTATAGACTAGACTATAGACTACTATAGACTAGACTATAGACTAGACTATAGACTAGACTATAGACTAGACTATAGACTAGACTATAGACTAGACTATAGACTAGACTATAGACTAGACTATAGGCTAGACTATAGACTAGACTATAGACTAGACTATAGACTAGACTATAGACTAGACTATAGACTAGACTATAGACTAGACTATAGACTAGACTATAGACTAGACTATAGACTAGACTATAGACTAGACTATAGACTAGACTATAGACTAGCTATGACTAGACTATAGACTAGACTATAGACTAGACTATAGAACTAGACTATAGACTAGACTATAGACTAGACTATAGACTAGACTATAGACTAGACTATAGACTAGACTATAGACCTAACTAGTAGACTACTAGACTAGACTATAGACTAGACTATAGACTAGACTATAGATGAGACTATAGACGAGACGAAGACTAGACTATAGACTAGACTATAGACTAGACTATAGACTAGGACGATAGACTAGACTATAGACTAGACTATAGACTAGACTATAGACTAGACTAGACTAGACTAATAGACTAACTATAGACTAGACTATAGACTAGACTATAGCTAGACTATAGACTAGACTATAGACTAGACTATAGACTAGACTATAGACGAGACTAATAGACTAGACTATAGACTAGACTAGACTAGACTATAGACTAGACTATAGACTAGACTATAGACTAGACTATAGACTGACTATAGACTAGTACTAGAGACTAGACTAGACTATAGACTAGACTATAGACTAGACTATAGACTAGACTATAGACTAGACTATAGACTAGACTATAGACTAGACTATAGACTAGACTATAGACTAGACTATAGACTAGACTATAGACTAGACTATAGACTAGACTATAGACTAGACTATAGACTAGACTATAGACTAGACTATAGACTAGACTATAGACTAGACTATAGACTAGACTATAGACTAGACTATAGACTAGACTATAGACTAGACTATAGACTAGACTATAGACTAGACTATAGACTAGACTATAGACTGGACTATATTTTTATGTTTTTATTTTCGTTTAGTGAAAGCTTAAAAATTTTGCTAAAATTGTTTCAAATTAAACATTTTTATAAACTTTTCAATTTTTAGAACACCATGACGTATGATTATTATTAATTAATGAATATTTTATAAAATTCTTTATAACACTAAACTATAATATATTTTAAAAAGATGATTTCAAATCGGAAATCTTAAACCTTAGACATTATTTAAGCTACATAAAATTTTATTTAGCAAACCCTTTGGGTAAAATTTTTAAGACAAAATGAAATTTTGAAAATAAAATTTTGTTAAAAAAGTACAACATTCTTTTAAGTAGGTCTTTGATTAGTGTGTTAGTATTCTCCTTTTACAGTTTATTTTATTATACTATGTATTTAGCATAGGGTTAAATAAATTGTTAGTGCGACATTTTTGTTCTTATTTTTTGTTCGTTTTTTTTTCCTTCATTTATTCTTTCTTTTTGTAATGCGTCAAAGGTTTTTTCTTGCTATTTTAAGATTTCCTACAGTTTTTTTGTTGTTTTTGTTTTTTTTTTGTATTTTGTTTAAGGCAAAATTCTTTTGTATAATTTACTAAAAATGAATCTGTTTCCTTTTTGTATTTACTCGTTTTTACTCTTTGTTTTTTTGCACATATTCTAACAGCATCATCTGGTGTTTCCGTTTTCTGTGAGTGTGTGTGTGTGTGTGTTTGAGTTTGAGGGTGTTTAAGTATTAAAATGACATGTAAATCTTTGCTTTTGGCTTCTTAAAAAAAATAAAGCAAATTTCACACATTTTGTTAAAAATGAAAAAGGGGGAACTTTTTGTTATATTTTACTTTTACAAGATTTCAAAGAAGAAAAAAAAAAAGAAATACGCAAATAAAGAGTTGTTACATTTATACCAAATTAAGTGTTGTGTCTTTGTGTTATGCGGGCTGATTTTTCTTTTTATGTTGTGCAGATTTCATTTTTTATTTTATTCTCAAATCTTTTATTTTGTTTCAAAGCCAGTTTTGTTATTCTATTTTATCTCTTAAAGAAGGTGTTGATGATTTTGACAATGATGTGTTTTCTGTGGGGGAAAATTAGTATCATAAAAGAACTTTGATTGTGTTTTTTTAGTTTTACTTTTTGGTTGCAAGATAATTGTCATAAAACAATGTTGTTGACATTTTTTTTATAACTAGTTTAATTTACAAGTTAAATTTTATTTTGTCATATAATAAAAATCATGATAATTTAATGACAGATATATGGGTGAAGAAGAAAAGACTAAATTTTTGCATAAAAATTTATTAAATTTGTTCTGATACTTAATAAATTTACAAAAACTATGAATTTTTTATAATTCCATAGGAACGTTGCAACATCCTGAAGAATCCTGTCGACAAGGTCCTTTTGTTTTAATTAATTCTTTATTAAAAGGAAATCAATTAAAATTCAATATTATGTTCATGTTAAGTATTTGCCAATTTACCTTGATTTGTTCTACACGTATAAATTTCCAAGAAACAATCATTTGGAAAGGTACAGTATACTTTATCACCATCAAAATTATGAATAGTTCCACAAACTGGCTTTACAGAACGCTGACAAACTTCCGGACAATTCTTGCCATCGCCCATGATACAAACGAATAATAAAATTATACAAAAAATTTGGATGTACATTTTGAAAAATGAGAAAATTCTAAACTATAAACTAATAACTAATTTTAGAACTAATTCAATGTTAGACTATTTCGCTATGTTTTATACTATTTTTTTTTTTCAAGTAATAAAATTTACTTAAATATTTTATTAATGTGAAAAAAAAATTAACAAAATATTATGACTTAACATGTATTGCTGTAAAAGTTTTATTAACATATGAAAGAATACTTTTGTCAATAGGTGAAACAAATCTTATCTAACACCTTCTATTGAACTATTTTAGAGAATACAGTCGAGACTATAAAATACAAAAGATTTGAGACTATAAAATACACCATAGTTGATAATATAAAATAAACTATAGCCGAGACAATAAAATACACTACAGCAAGACTATAGACACTATAGTAAAAACTATAGAATATACTATAGTCAAGACTATAGTCGAGATTATAGAATATACTATAGTCCAGCGTATAGAATAGAATAAAGTTCAACCTATAGTCGAATAAACAATAGTCTTAACTATAGTCGATATTTGAAAATACTATAGTCGAGACTATGGAATAGACTATAGTCGATAATACATAATTGACAATTGTCTAGACTGTAGAATATACTATATAGTCTTATAATTATATAGTCTTATAATTGAATATTGTGCATATTATGGATATGTAGGATATATTATAGTCATGTAGGATATATTATAGTGTAGGATATATTATAGTCATGACTAGTATAGTCACACTATAGTAAAAAGTATGGAATATATGTATTATAATATCGAGACTGTAGAGATCACTATTGTCTAGACTATAGAACACACTATAGTGTTAGTTAGTTAGTTAGTTAGTTAGTTAGTTAGTTAGTGGTGAGTTAGTTATTTAGTGTTAGTTAGTAGTTAGTTAGTTAGTTAGTTAGTTGTTAGTTAGTTAGTTAGTTAGTTTTAGTTAGTTAGTTAGTTAGTTAGTTAGTTAGTTAGTTAGTTAGTTTAGTTAGTTAGTTAGTAGTTGTATTAGTTAGTTAGTTAGTTAGTTAGTAGTTGGTAGTTAGTTAGTTAGTAGTTAGTTAGTTAGTAGTTAGTAGTTAGTTAGTTAGTTAGTTAGTTAGTTAGTTAGTTAGTTAGTTAGTTAGTTAGTTTAGTTAGTTAGTTAGTAGTTAGTTAGTTAGTTAGTTAGTTAGTAGTTAGTTAGTTAGTTAGTTGTAGTTAGTTAGTTAGTTAGTTAGTAGTTAGTTAGTTAGTTAGTTAGTTAGTAGTAGTTAGTTAGAGTTAGTTAGTTAGTTAGTTGTAGTTAGTTAGTTAGTTAGTTAGTTAGTAGTTAGTTAGTTAGTAGAGTTAGTTAGTTAGTTAGTTAGTTAGTTAGTTAGTTAGTAGTTAGTTAGTTAGTTAGTTAGTTAGTTAGTTAGTTAGTTAGTTAGTTAGTAGTTAGTTAGTTAGTTAGTAGTTAGTTAGTTAGTTAGTTAGTAGTTAGTTAGTTAGTTAGTTAGTTAGTTAGTTAGTTAGTTAGTGTCTGTCTGTCCATTAAAATAACGAAGATATGAGCAAAACTTTTTTGTATTCTTCGACATAAAAGCAACAACAACATTGCTTATTGGAAAGAAACGTATGTTTGGATGTGTGTTGGTTTTAATGCTTTGCGTATTTTATTATTGCTTTTTTTTCGTGTTTTGTTTCGTTTGGCGTTAATTGTTTTTGTCGGTAAAATTAAATAAATTTAAATTTTTCCAAAATTTATTAATTTTTTTATTCACACTATGGTGAAAGTAATATGAGATTCGACTTCTTACTTGTTATTTTGTCATTTCCTCTGAATCATGGGCGGTGACAGATTGTACTCAAAAGCTTATTTACCTGTTGGCGAGACAATTTGTGGAACGCTTAAAAAATTGCAAGATGAAAAGTTTCATTGTTCTTTAGGAATACTTGGAACATTTGTATTCATTACAAAACACTTTCTCATTTACATGACAAAATGTTTTGGTTGTTGTTGGAAAGGTCTTATAATAGAGATGACAAACAAATTCTACCACTTCCTATCACACTTAACCACTTCCATCCCCATTAATAAGTATGTGAATAAGTAAGTAACTACTCTTTACATGTACATCTATGTAATCATGTCTGAGTCTGTCATATAACAACTGGCTTACAAGGAATTCAATCAATGTTAAATACCAAAATACACATATACACATGTAATACCAAATAAGGATCATACAACAACACAAAAAACAGCCAACATCCCATAACAAAATTGTAAAATAAGAAAGAGATAGGAAAAAAAAAAGAATTTAAAACTACCACTTATGCTCCCAGACTTCACTCAGTTAGACTTCTTCCGTTGTTATAACACAAATAACTAATAAGTAGCAGGAGGGGAAATGGAACCTCACTAACTTTGCGTTAGCACCAGACTACAATTTGTTTATTTGTGTAAATTTTTCCTTTTTTTTCCTATAGTCATGATTTTTAAACGCATTTAAAAGGAAATTGAAATGTAAAGAAAAGTAAAGTTTCTTTTTAGGGAATCAATGAAAAATCACTTTAAAAATACATTTTAAATGGTAAAGGGAGTAATATACATATTTTTACCTAAGGTTATAGTTGATTCTTTATAACATTAGTCGAAACTAATCAAATATTTCTGGGTGTTAAAATTCTATATCAAAATTAGTTTCAGATAGTAAGATGGTGGAAAATTGTAATGATTTGAGTGTATAGAAATATCAATATTTAAATTCTTGCACTGAGAGAAACAATTACATTACAGGCATAAAGTTGTTGGCAAGAAGTGGTTACAGTGTATTACAAATAACAACGCAAGTACCTCAATTTCATACATTACTTCGAAATTCTTCACTTTTTATTAAAGTATAAAATATTCTCAGTTTTGGAAATGTATTTCTATACAAGATCCTTAATTTTTTTATTATTCAGTCTATTCTTATGTGTCATGAGCGATAACAAATCGATGTGCAAATATAAAGATTGTTCTGCTAAAACTTTCAAGCCAGTTTGTGTATCCGTTGTAAGTTTAAAAGGAAAGCAGGTAGATTGTACATTTCCAAATGATTGTTATGTGGAAGTTCATAAATGTTACACTGGCAAAGAAGGTAAGTGGAACAAATTATTATTTTTTATTTGAAAACTATTTTTATTGTATGTTTTTTACTTTTTATTTTCCAAGCATTGCTACAAACACACGAAACTTGTGTAGAACTTTCTCCAGAATGTGTTGCAATTATTATGAATGCCTATTTTAAGTCCGATATGACACGATAGACGGTTATAGCGCAGAAAGTGATTCTGAGCCAATTGGTATACTTTAAGGTGGGTGATACAAACTAATTGTAAACCGATCCAAAAAAACATAATAACATTTTAATATATAAAAGCAATATTTGTGCCAAATTTTGTATGGATATCTTAATGAGAGCTATGACCATTTGTTAACCGATCCGAAAAAAATTTCGTAATAACATTTCTGTATATAAAATCAATATTTTTGCTAAATCTTGTATGGATATCTTAATTTAGTAATGAGTTATGTGCGTTTAAGTGATTTTTGGGGAGTGGACTTTGTATGGCAGCTACGACCAATTATGGATGATTTGGAAAATTTTTCCATTATATGAATTCTATTAATATAAGAAGAACATTTTGGGAGAATTCGGTTAAATTGTATTGCTTCGTTTTATCGTGAGCATGTTTTACACAGACGGACAGACAGACAGACAGACAGACAGACAGACAGACAGACAGACAGACATACAGACAGACAGACAGACCGACACACGGACATAGCTAGATCGACTCAGAATTTGATAAGGACCATAATAGCGAAGTTACTTATTTAGGAACAAAATGCTGAAATAATAAAAGGTTTAAACGTTTTTTTTTTTTTTTTTTAACTCAATGCTAAAGGGTATATAAGATTCGGCACAGCCGAATATAGAACTCTTACTTGTTTTATAACAAAAAAAAAAAAAAAAAAAATACGTTGTCTATTTATACGTTATAATGTTAGTCAAAACTAATTGTATGTTTCTGCTTGTTAAAACTGCATTTAAAAATTAGTCTCATAGAGAAGTTGAAAGAATTCAAAAGTGTAAATTATTTCTAGTTCTTTATAATGCGCATAGCGACTTCTTATATAATTTTATTATTCGTTCATTTCCCATGTGTCATGGTGGATGCTAATAATTGTCCGAAAGTGTGTTCACCCGTTCCCAAGCCAGTTTGTGGTACCGTTAAAAATCTTATTGGCGAAGAGTTGGAATGTACCTTTAGAAATTCTTGTATGTGGGAACTGCTTACGTGTAAAGCTATTCAAGGTAATTTGTAGAACAATATGATTACATCCAAAATTTTTTTTAACATATGTTTGGTAAAAATTACAAATTTCATCCCGATCGGAAGACATCAGTTTCAAAAGTTGGGTTACTTGACACGAGATTCTCCATGTATATACATATGTACATATATATGTATGTATATTCTGGGGCCTCAAAATAAATTCATAACGATCAGTCCCTTATCAACTCTACTCCCCATATAATGATATTGATATATGAACAACTTTTGATGGTAAATACAAAAATTTACTTGTTTCAATTGTTTTTTTTTTTTCAATAAAGGATTAACTACGATGGCAGGACCTTGTAATGCAGATTCCCCTGGATGTCAGGACCTTGGTAAAGGTGACTTTAAGTTCAATTATTATAATTATGGTTTTAAACCTTGATGGGCTTATAAAAATACAAAAACTATCAGATAGATTTTCTCGTATCTTAAGCAATAAAATGTCTTTATTTAGTATATAAATAAGATCGGTGTATTTTGAAGTTGCTTCGGTGCGAAGTTACCCAATGTAAATTAAATGGTTTATGTCATGGCTTAATAAATAACTGATAAAGCTAACTAACTAACTAACTAACTACTAACTAACTAACTAACTAACTAACTAACTAACTAACTAACTAACTAACTAACTAACTAACTAACTAACTAACTAACTAACTAACTAACTAACTAACTAACTAACTAACTAACTAACTAACTAACTAACTAACTAACTAACTAACTAACTAACTAACTAACTAACTAACTAACTACTAACTAACTAACTAACTAACTAACTAACTAACTAACTAACTAACTAACTAACTAACTAACTAACTAACTAACTAACTAACTAACTAACTAACTACTAACTAACTAACTAACTAACTAACTAACTAACTAACTACTAACTAACTAACTAACTAACTAACTAACTAACTAACTAACTACTAACTAACTAACTAACTAACTAACTAACTACTAACTACTAACTAACTAACTAACTAACTAACTAACTAACTAACTAACTAACTAACTAACTAACTAACTAACTAACTAACTAACTAACTAACTAACTAACTAACTAACTAACTAACTAACTAACTACTAACTAACTAACTAACTAACTAACTAACTAACTACTAACTAACTAACTAACTAACTAACTAACTAACTAACTACTAACTAACTAACTAACTAACTAACTAACTAACTAACTAACTAACTAACTAACTAACTAACTAACTAACTAACTAACTAACTAACTAACTAACTAACTAACTAACTAACTAACTAACTAACTAACTAACTAACTAACTAACTAACTAACTAACTAACTAACTAACTAACTAACTAACGACTAACTAACTAACTAACTAACTAACTAACTAACTAACTAACTAACTAACTAACTAACTAACTAACTAACTAACTAACTAACTAACTAACTAACTAACTAACTAACTAACTAACTAACTAACTAACTAACTAACTAACTAACTAACTAACTAACTAACTAACTAACTAACTAACTAACTAACTAACTAACTAACTAACTAACTAACTAACTAACTAACTAACTAACTAACTAACTAACTAACTAACTAACTAACTAACTACTAACTAAGTTACTTACTACCTAACTAACTAACCAGCTTAAAACGATCATATATGCTTATATATGGATCATATATGAATCATATATGGACCATATATATTCATATATGTTCATATCCGAAAAATCGCGTTTATCATGATCATGATCATCATGATCATGTCATATATGAACACATATTTTTAGCTGGGTAACTAACTAAGTTGAGAATAATAGTGTTAAATTTAGTATGAGATTTTTCTTTCTGTGCGTGGCCTATAGAATCGACTAGAGTATTATCTCGAGTATATTCTATTCCATAGCTTCGACTATTGTCTTGATGGAAAATATTTACATTGTCACTGGACAACAGTTTTCGTTTAAGCTCAGTACAAAAAGCTATATGTATATTGTATTGAAGATTGGTGGAATGCAAAAAGAAATTTATGAAAATTTATAAAAAAATATTTTTTAAAATAACAAAAGTTTTAATTTATTTACATAGATTTTAGTTTGTCACAATAGTTTTTTATAATTACTTTCATTAAAAAAACATTTTAAAAAAGTTATGACTAAAAATTTAAATAAGTATTTATTAACGGAACTGTCTGATATGGAATTACTTTTAAAATTAGTTTATTTTTAATTTTAAACTATATGTCATTATTCGGTGATTTTCTCTGGGTCATGGAATTCGCTGCCTTCTCATTTAAGTGATTTAAGCCTATTTTACTGTTAATACCAAAAACGTTGTATTTTTGCTTATATTTTAAATAAATATAGTAATTTCTTGATTTTTATATTATCAGTGCACCAGGACGTATGATTGTTATTAATTTCTGACTTAATTTACAGATTTTCCTATTGCTGCAAAAATTAAAAGGTTATTGAAAATGTTGTTATAGATTTCAATAGCTAAGACTTTAGGCAACATTCGGTGGTATTTAAAATAATATAAATTTTATTTGTGAAAAGAAAATTTCGGTAAAAATTTATATTTTAAAAATTTGAAATTATTACTTTTGGCAAAAAAAAAAAAAAAAAAAAAACGGTTTAATTTTATGACAATTTCCCATTACACTTTAAATACATGAAAGTAAAATCTAAGTGAGTTGTCTATAAACTTTTTCAAATATCATTTATTATAACTTTTATTTAACAACAACTTCCTTTTCATTTTTTTTTTTTTTGCAACCAAAATAAAAGTGGTAGAAAGTTATTTACACTAATACTAGAATAACAAAAACAAAACCAAACACATAAACATTTTACCAAATTGTGGTTAAGAAATAATATATAAATGTAACCCTATACAAAAATTGTCATATTTTCACACACACCAACACATACACACCCACACACATTTCAAAAATACTTTAAACTGAGTATGTTGTATTTTAACGAGTTTATGGATTTAAGTCTTTTTTTTTTTTTTTTGTTGTATAACAATTTGTATACGTTATAAACTTTATACTTTGTCATATTTATAAAATAGCAAGCCAAACAACAATAGAAACAAAAAAGGATTTTATTTTTATTATTAACATTATATGTACACAGGACAAATTTTAAGTTTAACACCAGTTATTTGTAAAACACACACATAGACAAATAAAAACTTAAAAAAAAAAATTAAAAACAATGACACAACAAATAATAGTAAAAAGGGAGGAAAGCGGAAATAGAATGTGTACAAAAGCAGTGGGTTGGGTAAACACATACATATGGATTTCATATATCTACTTATTAAAACCTCGCATATAAAACTGTATAATACTACTTCTAGAACTAATATTCGCGCTTATGTGTATCTCAACAAAATATTGTAATTTGTTTGTAGCAGAGTATCTATTCCTCTCACTCTACTCTCGCTAATATTTTTCATATTTTCTATGTATATAAATACCAGTAGATTACATTTCCGTTTCCTGTCTTTTTCTATTTAACTTTATTTTGGTTATTTGTGTATGTGAGTTTGTTAAACTTAGTAAAAATTTTTTTATAATATTTACTGCTAAATGTAATTCTATTTAACAAACATTTAGTCGAGTTTATGAAAGCAAAATATCTTTCTGTATAGATTATAGATTTGCTAATCGAAATTATAAATTGTGTTTGCATATCGAAAATACTTTATTTATAAGTTATTAGTTTTGATTATAGCTTTTAAACTTACTTTAAAGAAATGTCAAATTTCATTTACCTGTAAAGAGAAGAAAGAAAGAAATTTAAATTATTAAAGAAATTTCAAATACTTATGTAGTATACAATTTTGATATGATGTGCAAAAAATCAGATATTATTTTCCTCTCATCAATCATATGCAGTGATGTACTTGTAGTAAATATATAAATTTATTCACAATTTCGCACACTGCAAGTCATGAATTAATATCAATTATACGTAGTGATGTACAGGATACAACAACAATTTATGGTATATTTATGGTATATGCTCTGATCTATGGGCTGATCTATGGTCTGGTCTATGGTCTGGTCTATGGTCTGGTCTATTGTCTGGTCTATGGTCTGGTCTATGGTCTGGTCTATGGTCTGGCCTATTGTCTGGTCTATGGTCTGGTCTATGGTCTGGTCTATGCTCTGGTTTATGGTCTGGTCTCTGGTCTGGTCTATGGTCTGGTCTATGGTCGGTCTAGGTCTGGTCTATGGTCTGGTCTATGGTCTGGTCTATGGTCTGGTCTATGGTCTGGTCTATGGTCTGGTCTATGGTCTGGTCTATGGTCTGGTCTATGGTCTGGTCTATGGTCTGGTCTATGGTCTGGTCTATGGTCTGGTCTATGGTCTGGTCTATGGTCTGGTCTATGGTCTGGTCTATGGTCTGGTCTATGGTCTGGTCTATGGTCTGGTCTATGGTCTGGTCTATGGTCTGGTCTATGGTCTGGTCTATGGTCTGGTCTATGGTCTGGTCTATGGTCTGGTCTATGGTCTGGTCTATGGTCTGGTCTATGGTCTGGTCTATGGTCTGGTCTATGGTCTGGTCTATGGTTGGTCTATGGTCTATGGTCTGGTATTGGTCTGGTCTATGGTCTGGTCTATGGTTGGTCTATGGTCTGGTCTATGGTCTGGTCTATGGTCTGGTCATGGTCTGGTCTATGGTCTGGTCTATGGTCTGGTCTATGGTCTGGTCTATGGTCTGGTCTATGGTCTGGTCTATGGTGTCTATGGTCTGGTCTATGGTCTGGTCTATGGTCTGGTCTATGGTCTGGTCTATGGTCTGGTCTATGCTGGTCTATGGTCTGGTCTATGGTCTGGTCTATGGTCTGGTCTATGGTCTGGTCTATGGTTGGTCTATGGTCTGGTCTATGGTCTGGTCTATATGGTCTGGTCTATGGTCTGGTCTATGGTCTGGTCTATGGTCTGGTCTATGGTCTGGTCTATGGTCTGGTCTATGGTCTGGTCTATGGTCTGGTCTATGGTCTGGTCTATGGTCTGGTCTATGGTCTGGTCTATGGTCTGGTCTATGGTCTGGTCTATGGTCTGGTCTATGGTCTGGTCTATGGTCTGGTCTATGGTCTGGTCTATGGTCTGGTCTATGGTCTGGTCTATGGTCTGGTCTATGGTCTGGTCTATGGTCTGGTCTATGGTCTGGTCTATGGTCTGGTCTATGGTCTGGTCTATGGTCTGGTCTATGGTCTGGTCTATGGTCTGGTCTATGGTCTGGTCTATGGTCTGGTCTATGGTCTGGTCTATGGTCTGGTCTATGGTCTGGTCTATGGTCTGGTCTATGGTCTGGTCTATGGTCTGGTCTATGTCTGGGTCTATGGTCTGGTCTATGGTCTGGTCTATGGTCTGGTCTATGGTCTGGTCTATTGGTCTGGTCTATGGGTCTATGGTCCTGGTCCTATGGTCTGGTCTATGGTCTGTCATGGTCTATGTGCTCTAGGATCTGCTCTATGTCTGGGCTTTGATTGGCCTATGGTGTGGTCTATGGCC